GTATGTATTGGCAAATCTTTATTCTTAAACCTTCATTTGTAATGCCATTCTTGAAATTAAAACATAAAATCAAAATTTTAGAAAATTTCAGATTTTTTCTATTTGCAATCATGAAACTCAAAATAATATTTTTAAAAATTTTATTTTAAAAGTTTTTTATTAATAAGATAGATACAAAATTGTACAAAATTATTGTAAAGTTTCTTTTAATTTATCCAAGGAGGGTATTTTAGTTTATACTTTCAAAATAATCCGGTCTCACTCAACCTTATCCAAACATGCATTTTTAAACTCAAAATAAACATAGCAAAAAGGGGAAAAAATATTAACTGAGCCCTTCATTTCTAGTACAGTGATAACCAGAAACCTCTGGAATAGAAAGACGACTTTTAGACTCAAATTATTGACCGAACATAAGGAAAAGCAATTGTGCAGTGTAAACAGACCCATTTCACTTGATAATCGATTTTTTACCTGACTAGTAATCCTATTTGCTTTGTAACTAAATCAAATCAAGTATTACTTTAATGTCGTCTTCTTATTCTACAGTTTTCTGGTTATCACTGTATATTCTTAAATAATTGACAGCCTCTCTTAAGCATTATAAACTTCCCCTTTGATATTTTGTGTCCATTCAATCAGTTTTCAGCGTCGTTAGCTATGTTTTTGCGCAATTAAAACTCTTATTATTTTCATTTTATTTCTTTATTTTTTCACTGTCAATAATGTATTAAGTGTATTACATTTGTAATCATTTGTATCCGTCAAAACTAACGCTTGCAAAGTTATTAACAGACTTAAATGTAAAATCTCCCAATAATTGACAAGTTAAAAGTATAGCTGTGAGAAAGCATTAATTATTGTAAAAACAAATATTTTTCTTTTCAGGTAAGGTTAACGAGAGAGAAGAGGCTTGGGGGATTTTTTAACTTCTTATATAATTTAATAATTTTTAATTTTGTGCCAGATTGTTTAAATTTGAAAATTGGGGGATTTCCTTTCGGGATTTCACCTAAAGTTTGATTAATCAAAGATGATCAAATTTACAGATCTACAACTTGAAATATTATCTGTTTGTCTCCAAATTTCGACTCAACGATGAAAGCAACTTATTTCGATTTTGAATTTTAATTACATAAAAGAAAGCTTTCAAAGTAACCTCTGAAAATACGATTTGACTTCTAAAAGTTATTGATCCAGGCGGCTACAGCTGATTCCAGGCGGCTAGAGCTGATTCCAGTCGGCCACAGCTGATTCAAGGCGGCCACAGCTGATCCAAAGCTGAAGGGGTCGGCGTTACAGGTGGCGAGTACTCAAGGCTTAATTCCCCATCAGATCAACAACTGCTAGAAAATGGCACGAGGGGTAAGCATTATTTTTTTCACTCTAACGGAAAAATTGGTTGTAAATTTTGAAAAAGGTTGTCAAACATTAACCAAAACGTTTTAGTATCGATTATTGACATTCTTTAGTAAATTTTTAATATTACTTAAAAAGCATATCCAAATAAACCATCTGTCCTTTCCTAATAATATGTATGAAACTGGACAAAGCCTTTAGAATTTTCGTTAAAATGTGATATTTCTAATGATACTTCTGCCCTAGCAAGTTGTAATTTGCTCACAAAATTACTTTTACAAAAAATTGAAATAAGAATATGAATGATCGAAATAGAAAAACAAAATCGACATAAAAACAGTAAACATTAATATAGAAAAAAAAAGAAAATTTATATCATAATAATAATAATTGAAACAGGAACTCATGGGATTGAACAGAAATAAAGAAACAGAAAATTAAAATGGACATACGTATTAAACAGTATTGATTAAATCAGAAAAACATGGAGATGATCAAGAATTCCAGATTTTTGGGAGTTACCCGGAACATTCTTTCAAAATCACACCCTTGACAAAAATTAATCTTTTAAATTTGAAGGAAAAAGGTCGAAAAACATTCTTAACATTTTTGTGCAAGACCTGAGTAAAATAATATATTCTAAACGCCTCCAATTGTGCAATTTGTAAAAATGACAGTGCAGCTTAAAGCGGAGAAAAGAATTGGCAATATGGCGGACATGTTGATGGAGTTGATGGCTTATTCAGAGAACCCCTTGACAACAATATTCAGCTGTTCGTTTTACTCATTAAGATATTAAAGGGATTGTCCTTGTGTAAATACGGACCGGGTTGGATATTCGGAGTGGTGAGTTGTGGTCGATATGGTTTAACAAAACTCACAGTAAAATACGATTGTGGGATCACCGTTGCAGATATAATTGCCCGAAACTTGATTACTAGACACGTAGTTACTGGAAAACTAAATTCGCTTAAAACATGTATGATTTAACGACCCACCCCCTAAATCTAGGGTCTTCACTATGTATGTATGTATTGTTTACAAATAAAAATATTTTCTATAGTAACTGTATTTCTAAAATCATGTTTCGCGTTATCAAATCTGCAGTAGATCAACTGCACCTTCTGATCAGATTAAATATGTTTAAAAATCAGGTTATAAAACTCAAAAGTGTCATTGGGCTCACTTGTTTGAAAATATACACCCCCAAATGAATATTGTTAGAAAATACGGTAGTAGGCGATTATATCAATATACTGCAGACGAATTTCGATTTCAATTTCGATTTATATCAAGCTTTTAAACAGCATGAATACACAAAAACCTGAAATAAAGATAAGCTGTCAATTAAAAAAGCTCATTTATTACTTTTAAACTTGTATTCGAAAATAAGCTTGTTAACAATTAAAATTTGAATAAAAAGTTGTTTTCATTATATTGATATAATTGCCTACCATGGTGTAGTATAGTTTTTTAAAAACTTTGACACTTTTAAAACTTAACAGTAAGTGCTCTTAATGGATAGAGAAGTGAGAAATGTCACTCTTCTAGTAAAACTAAATTTCGGGTCACTAATTGGTAGGGAGCAAACACGTTATTTAAAACATAATTACAATATATCTAATAATTAAAAACTAATTTAATATGACCTCTAATAGATAAAGGTAACTAAATAACAAAATAAAGAAAATCAGTCTAAATTAAAAAATAATAAACGCACTTCTTATAGTGTAATTGGAATCGAGAGATATTGTAATTGCACTCTATTATTAGCAAACTTTTTTCATTCATTCGTGTACATGAATATATTCGTGTACATGAACATATTCGTGTTCATAAATATATTGGTGTACATGAACATATTCTAGTACATGAATAAATTTGTGTACATAAAAATATTCTCGGAAATGAATATATCAATGTACAAGAACATATTCGCGTAAGACTATATTCGTGTACATGAACATATTCTATACAAGAATATATATTCGTGTACATTAACACATTAATGTACATGAACATATTCGTGTACATGAACATATTCGTGTACATGAACATATTCGTGAACATGAACATATTTGTGTATATGAACATATTCTGTACAAGAATATTCCTGAAGATACATTCTCCACAGTATTCTTGTGTACAACAGCAAACAATGCTCTTGCATTATTTAATTTACTTTTTATTCGAGTTTAGCATTAAATATGCATTTAACATATTTGAAAACAAAATAAACATTTTAAATTTTTCCTGAAAAAATTTTAGGATTTTTTCTCAAGAACGGATAAACACAAAATGTTGCAAAGCAAACAATTAAAAGTTAAAATAACATGGAAACTGAATTTTAGAAATGTTTAAATCTTCATAAAACACAAGTTTTTCAAACTCATTGAAATTAAAAGTGCACACAGATCCAGATTGTTTGTTTTTATAAACCCATGAATATTAAAAGACAATTTTGTTTATTTAAAGAGACTGTAGACAAACATTCAATTCAAGTGACTCTCCTTTAGAAAAGGGCGGCATATCCGATTCACAATGGTTCCCATTCACCCGTCTATCTAAGGAACAATAAGCAAAATATCGCCGTTTGTCTGTCTTAAAAAGTGTCAAATTCTCACAACTTTTTTATTGTCGAGGAATCATATTTAAAAATAAATAATTTTCATGCGCATTTATCCTTGACAAGGTAAAGGTTTAAAGGGTACCGCGGTGAATCGGACATACCTCTCTGTAAATTGAGGTTCGCTTGAAAAAATATGTTTTCAGTTACTTCATGTACTGTACTGTACTTACAGTACTGTACTGTACTGTACTGTACTGTACTGTACTGTACTGTACTTTACTGTACTGTACTGTAAATGAATGAAAAACCTGATTCATCTGAAGCGTATTTTGTTCATCAGATTTGTGCATAATTTGAAATCGCCTAATTTAGATGCTCAAAAATTTAGAGACGAGACGACATTTAACTTCGAAACATCTCTTCTTCTTTTTATATTTCGAGCCGAATGTTATTTTTTTAGCACACATATCTTGGTTATTTTTGGTTTCAACTCGTTTAAAAGGACTGGTTCGGTTTAGTTTTGTTTAACTTCCTCCGAACATAAGCAAGCACTCAGGGCGCTCTCTCAGCTTTTTGATATAATCAAATGCCCTATGATATTGATAATCAAATGCTCTATGATATTGATATGCGAGAAAGAAACTTAAAGGCCGGGTTAAAGTAGACTTTACTATGTTTTTAAAGAAATAACATTAGACATACATGACACAAGATACAAGACCTCATTTAAAGTTAAACCGAATTCATTTGAAAATCTAGCATCTCATGATAGACCTACAGGTTTAAAAGCTCTTTAAACCTGACCCCATTCCTATTTGAATTCAGTTCTGGGTGGCCGCCCCCCCCCCCCCCCCCGGCCCTCCCGCTATGCGGGCTTTAACATCATTGTTTTTGTAGATTTCAAGGTTCTTGAACATTCATGGGGGGGAAAGAAAATTCTAAAACCTTTTCATGCAAAACGCTCTCTTTTTTGTTCCCCCATGTCCTACCCCCCTTTTGTCCTGCCCCCCCCTTTCCACCCATCACCTTTTTAAAAGCAATAAATCCAACCCCTGGATCTACTCAGGTTTAAGGGTATCCAGGTATGATGGGGGACAATACAAGACGACATTCAAAGGACGTGGTAAGCAGTAGCCTGCACATTTATAGTCTTTAACTAGTTTAGAATAGATAGATTAGCGCTGCTACCGCTTTGCTGAAATTGTTCAATCTAATTGAAAGTAAAAAAGGATTCTGTGTAACTCTGGTCTTTTGTGGCAAGGACAGAGAAGTGTTTTTATAAATTCAAGAGAATATTTTTACTCAGGAGTAATTAGTAAACGTCCCAATCTTTTCTCGGTACACAGCTTTCTCCCCCCAGCCTTGGACAAATAGAAAAACAAGGATGCATCCTAGCAAAATACTCAAGATACTTTTAATATAGATTTCTCTAGTTCAGCCATATTGATTCTACTCCAGTAAACCTAATAGTTTTTAATGGATATTGGAGATCCAGGGATTAATTTTACTTCGTTTTATTGGAGATCTTTAGGTATTGCTTTTACTCCACGATAGCAGAGGTTTAAGAATTATTTTTACTCTGGTTTAGCGGAGGAATGGAAATTATTTTTACTTTGGTTTGGAGGAGTTCTATAGGGTTTGTTTTTACTCCGGTATAGCGGAGGAATGGAAATTATTTTTACTTTGGTTTGGAGGAGTTCTATAGGGTTTGTTTTTACTCCGCTAAAGTGGAGGAATAGAAATTATTTTTACTTTGGTTAGGCGAGATCTATGTGATTGTTTTTGCTACGCTATAACAAAGGAATGGGAATTATTTTTGAGTCTCTAAACCTAATTTTAAATATTGCTCCTCAGGACGGGAGTTTCTCCATGTCTGATGGGGAACAGGCGTACTATTTGACCTCCTACGAGGTCGAGGTCGAGGATGAGGATTTCCAGCCAAGATTTCTTGTAGGTTTAATCCTCAATGAAAGAGAATCAAATCCCTGGGATAATCTTGATTGGTCTTATCAGGATTATTCCGGGGATTCACAGATTTCACAAACTCACAACAGGATTAAACTCACAACAGGATTAAACTCACAACAGGATTAAAAATCAGATTTAATCTTGAAACTGTGGGTTAGTGGAATCTAAGTGACGATTCCTTTGTTGGGATTTTGACGTGTTAATGTTTTATTTCTGTCTTAAACATTTTAACTTTGTACATAAAAATATATGTACATAAATGTACATGTACACTGTACAGTGTAACATTTATTGTTTCTCTATAGGTACTGCTCATTCCTGCATAATGCATAGACTTTTATTACATAGCGTAGACATTTTAAAATGCACATTGTTGAATGTTGTACATAGATAGATAGATATAAAAGAAAACATTATACACATGTCAATTGTCAATTACGTAAAGGGGAAAAAATTTTAATGGATTCTTTTTAAATCAATGTGTTTGTTCAAATTTGTTAGGATTTGGATTCACTTTGTAACAAGAGTTTTTAATCGAAATAGCCTTATTATTGAAAGTATTCCATTTAAGTTTTTTAAAATAAAGGGAAAGGTGAAGGAAATGGGGAAAATGAGGTTGGAGTGACTGGTGAGGGAGTGGAGGGGTCAAAACATTTTTTGATGTTAAATTCACACGAAATTGTATAAATGTGAATGTACGTAGATTTTCGGATTTTTATTTTTGAAAAAAATTATTTTTATCAAATTATCTCAGTTCTCATTCTGCAGTTTTCTATAGGAAAACTTATAATTAACCATGTATTTAATTAAAGGAGATAATGTAAATTGTGCATGTTATTCTCTCTCCAAGGTTGTATATTGTTGCACTGATTTCGAAATATGTTTTAAAGTTATGTTTTTTTTAAATTAAAAGTTTAGCTGAAGTAAAAAAAATAGGCTAAGGAAGGTGGGAGGTTGCAACAATACACAGTCTTGCTGCAATTTTAACGTAGACTTCAATGTTTAGATAATTGCATCATGCTAAATATTTAAACGGTCTTAATATAGTTCTTAGCAAACACTGTTCAAGTCAGGTTCAAATTTAGCTCCATACTTAACTATAACCCTAGAGTATTGTCTAGAAGTGTACCTGGAGAACAGGTTTGCTGAGTAGGTTCTGGTCCAGGAAGAATTGGTTGTTTAGGAATTGAAACCACCAACTCCTGGAGGAAGGAGAGGTTCCTTTAATCCTGGTCAGGAGAAAGGAGAAGCAGAAGTAAGTTTAACTCAACTATTTATACTGATGTATTCCTATCTTCTAGGCAGGGGCTGCTCGTAAGAAATCCCTGAACCCTGGAGAGGGGGAGGACGGAAAAGTAGAAGTGAGTCGAAATGTCCGACTGTCCCTCAGCCCAGCAGAGCACTTTTTAGTCCTCATAAAATAATTTATTAAATATGTCACAAAACATCCCCCCTATACAACTTGTCATACCCCCTCCCCTTTTTAACAGGACGCACCCCCCCCCTAAAAAAAAAAAAGTAAAATTGAGTGTCCCAGGGCTGAGGACAGTGTGTTGGGACAACTAGTTACCCTTTTGTTAAATCTTCAGTGCCAAACAAGTTGGGATTTGGGACAACCCTCGTCTCGGAAAACCCCGGTCATGAACAACCCTAGCTTCACGGCCATGTACAAAATACTTTGACAAATATACTTAAAACAAAAAAATCGAGTTTTTAGCGGAGAAATCTAAGAGATTTGCAAACTTTTTGCCGACTCTACAAATTTGACCAGGAAAACTATGTTCTAGTTTTACTTTAGCAAAAGTGAAGAAAGGGAAAAACCGTTAAATTTAAAAATTAAAAGAATATGTAAAATCTACCTGGCTTCAAGTTTTCCGGGTTTTAGATGGGCAGGGTTTTACATTTTAATGGATACAAAATATTTTCCCAGAACTTGTTTGCTGCTCAACGATTTTGTATTTGTCCAGTTGGACGATGGGACATGCAAAAGTCCACATTTTCAGGTTTTTTATTAGTTTTAGATTTTAGGTAGAGAGAGAACATACTGCCTCACTCAACTATCTAACCTTTGTTCATGTTTTATATCGTTTTATATTAGACTGTTCTAATAGATCCTAGACTAGAATAGAATAATTAATATATTTCTTATACTTACATAAAGATAATTTTTGAAATTTTAAATATTAGAATTTATTTTACGATTTAATGGGTAAAAAATCGAAATTTAGTGTCCGTGTTTATGGGCATTAAGATCGGAGTAAATGACCCGAGAATTTTACGCTTCTTTCCCCCCTAACTTCATTATTATTGGTAAACAACTAGAGTTTAATTAGTTTTCCTTGTGTAGAAATCAGGGCAAGTATAAGTTTGGCTATTTTGTCCGTTATTTTGAATTACAGTCTTCTACGACAAGACTTGTAACATTCTTTTAAAAATATTTAAACTTAATATTTGTTTCTATTTTAGTGGGTAAGTGAATCTTTTTATCTATAAACATGTTAAGGCTGAGGTAAGTATAAGAGAAGATTTAAGGTAAAATTCTTGCACTAAATTATATAATATTATATTATATGTTTCATGCTTTACAAGCAAAATATATATATTATATATATATATATATATTTACATTTGTAATATGGTATGCACTACAAAATTAGGACAACATTCCAATTTTCTTGAAAACTTCTTTATCTTTCGTTACAATCAGTCACAAAATCTAAAAACATGTTTATACTTAATTCAAGCATTTTCAAAAACTAAGGGAAGCTTTTGTAATTTTATTTTATGTTCAATGGGTTTAGAAGATCAACATTTAGATTGGCCCAAAAAGAATTAAATTTTGAAATTAAATCCTGCTTTACATTAAACTATCTGGTTTAATTTCACAGAGTGTTAACTATCTCTTGTCGCTTTTACATGAGGGTTCACTATACAATTATACAATTACACAATGGGGGCTAAAATTACACAATTACACAATGGGGGCTGAAATTACACAATTACACAATGGGGGCTGAAATTACACAATTACACAATTGGGTCTGAAATTACACAATTACACAATGGGGGCTGAAATCACACAATTGCACAATGGGGGCTGAAATTACACAATTACACAATGGGGGCTGAAATTACACAATTACACAATGGTGTCTGAAATTACACAATTACATTACAGTGTATATGAGTATATATTTAGCGTACAGTATATATGAGTATATATTAGTGTACAGTGTACATGAGTATACATTCAGTGTACAGTTCAAAAGATTACGTATTTAGTGTACAGCTTACATGAGTATATATTTAGTTTATAGTGTCCATGAGTATATATTTAGTGTACAGTGTGCATCAGTAAATATTTAGTGTACAGTGTACATTATTATATATTTAGTGTACAGTGTACATGCGAATATATTCAGTGTACAGTGCACGAGAGTACGTTTTTAGTGTACAGCTTACAAGAGTATATATTTAGTGTACAGCATACGTGAGTATATATTTAGTGTACAGTGTACATGAGAATATATTTCGTTTACAGTGTACATGAGTATATATGTTAGTGTACTGTGTACATGAGTATATATTTAGTGTACAGTGTACATGAGTATATATTTAGTGTACATTATACATGAGTATATATTTAGTGTACAGTGTACATGAGTATATATTTAGTATACAGTTACATGAGTATATATTTAGTGTACAGTGTACATGAATATATATTTAGTGTACAGTATACATGAGTATATATTTAGGACTGGGATAAAGCCTCAACTCCTCTGAAAACTAGTGGAAAAGAACCCAAGTTTGTAAAACCTCCAGACAAGTTCTCCGCTACTGAGGGAGATCATGCTTTCGTTATCCTTGATATTCAGGGGGATCCTGTTCCCAAGATTGAATGGTTCAAGGTAACCTACTTATAAAAAAAAACTTTTGCGGATTCGCAAAAATTTTGGAGGATTTCTTAACTGTTTCTTTGTTTAGGCAACTAAAGATCTGGTTACAGAACCTAGATGTAAATACTGGACAGATGGATCCAGGATCATTATGGGGATTCAGAAAGCCAAACAGGAGGACGAGGGGACTTATAGGTAAATAGGAGAACAAGAGGACTTAAAGGTAAATAGGAGAACAAGAGGACTTAAAGGTAAATAGGAGAACAAGAGGACTTATAGGTAAATAGGAGAACAAGAGGACTTATAGGTAAATAGGAGAACAAGAGGACTTATAGGTAAATAGGAGAACAAGAGGACTTAAAGGTAAATAGGAGAACAAGAGGACTTAGTGGTAAATAGGAGAACAAGAGGACTTATAGGTAAATAGGAGAACAAGAGCACTTAAAGGTAAATAGGAGAACAAGAGGACTTATTGGTAAATAGGAGAACAAGGGAACTATAGGTGAATAGGAGAACAAGAGAACTTATAGGTAAACAAGATGACAAGAGGACTTACAGGTAAATAGGAAGACAAGGGCGCTTAAAGGTAAATAGGAGAACAAGAGGACTTATAGTTAAATGAGAGGACAAGCAGACTTATAGGGAAAGAAGAGGACAAGAGGAATTATAGGTAAATAGGAGGACAAGAGGACTACTAGGGAAATAAGAGGACAAGAGGACTTATAGGTAAATAAGAGGACAAGAGAACTTATAGGTAAAAAAGAGGACGATTGCACTTATAGGTAACTAGAAAGAGAATGAGACTTAAAGTTAAATAAGAGGACGAGGGCACTTATAGGTAAATAGGAGTACGAGGGCACTTATGGGTTAATGGGAAGACAAGGGCACTTAAAGGTAAATAGGAGGACAAGAGGACTTATAGGTAAATAGGAGGAGAATTGGACTTAAAGGTAAATAAGAGGACGATGGCACTTATAGGTAAATAGGAGGACAAGTGGAATTGTAGGTAAATAGGAGGACAAAGGGATAGGAGGGCATGCCGACTTAAATAGAAGGACAAGGAAACATTAGGACTAACAAGTTAATAGTAGGACTTGAGGACAAGAGCAAAAAATTTTAAAAAAGGAAAAAAAACTTAATTATTCTCTAGGTCTGTGATCACGAACGAGCATGGAAGTGTCGAACATGAGTTCAATGTTTACATCACAGGTCAGTACATTTGCAGTAAATTTGAAGTACATTTGCAGTACATTTGAAGTTCATTTGCAGTACATTTGCAGTACATTTGCAGTACATTTGAAGTACATTTGCAGTACATTTGCAGTAAATTTGCAGTACATTTTCAGTACATTTGTCTTATTGTCTATTGTTCTGGAAACATACATGCATATTATTATCGCGTTCAAAGTCCAATATGAAAATAAATATTCTCTTGAGGGCTGGAGGAGCGGGGGGTGAATAATTTATTTAATTCTTTGTCATTTTAAATCAAAAAGGCACGAGCTAGAACTTTTTTATTTATTAATTTTTTTAAAACATTTATTCAAATAAATCAATTTTTAAGAAAAAGTTTCAAAATTAGATCTTGACATTTTTTTAATTTGAAAAATTTTAGTTGCCGGTGGTATGGATTTCAGAGCTATGCTTATGAGGAAGAAGAAACCAGCAAAGAAAGTCGTGGTGGTAAGTGCATCGTGAATTAAAAATAAAAAATAAAAAAATTTTAATTAAAAAATAAAATTCTAGAATAGATTTTTGTTTAAAAAATTAGTTTGATATAAATGATCTAACAATAAATATTTATTATAGTTTCTAAAAGCAAATCCTAGATTGTATAAAATACAAGATATGGTTTGGTTTACTCTAAACAGTTCTATTCTTAATCTAACCTTGAATACGTTACAGAGTATGGAATTCAATTCTAGAGGATAAAGTCGGTATTTTTTTGTTGATCCCAACACGGAATTCTTAGTCCTCAATTCATAAACATTTCCAAGATATAAAATTTTGCGAGATCTCTCCGTGAAAAAATGTCTTATTTTATTCTAAAAAATGCACTGAGTGAAGGAGGAGTGACATCCTGTCCTGGATTTATCAATTAAGGAAACTAAGGATTCCGGAGCAGGGTAAAATATTCCCCTCTAAAGACAGGGTAAAATATTCCCCTCTAAAAACAGGGGAAAATATTCCCCACTAAAGACAGGATAAAATATTCCCCTCTAAAGACAGGGTAAAATATTCCCCACTAAAGACAGGGTAAAATATTCACCTCTAAAGACAGGGGAAAATATTCCCCACTAAAAACAGGGTTAATAGAAAGAGATATTGTGTTTTATAAGATAGGACACCTAGACGCACAAAACTTTAATAAAAGACCTAGTTGCGCCATTTTTTTTATTGTATTTTTATATAGAACCTTGAAATAAATGAAATCCTGCTTTTTTGTGAATTTTTGCAAACATCGCCTTCGGCAAAAACACTAAAAATTGTAAATTGTTTAACCTCTGATAAAATCAGCTGGGTAGAAAAATACTTCAGCTGTTCCTTCTGAACCCGCCTATACATTTTAAAGGGCTCAGGAAACATCGTTTGTTACTTTAAAAAGAGTATGCCCCTAGACCAACCTAAGTACACATTTGCGGAGATCAACTGTGTTTATAATATTTGGTGCTGACTTGGAAACCCAGCTTTGCAAGGAAACTAAACTTTCGATATAAAAGCCAACCCATGCTTAACTTAAATTTTTTAAACAAAGCATTCATTTCCACAATTCTACCGAGCTCCCCAATCAAAATATTAGAGGCAAATCGGTCAAGGGTTTCATGAGTTATGATTGGACATGCAAACGAACAAACAGAGATTACTGCTTCATATATATAGATTTAGTATTTAGTATTTAGTGTTGCAGTTAAAGTATTTTGCATCTTCTGTCACATTAATTTAAAGAGTTTTATAAATGAGAATATTTGAAAACAAACTGAGCTAGGTTAAGCTGACCGCACGAAGTGCAGAAGACAGGATCCTAGATACTTTTTCCTTTAAAGGGATTACTTACATTTTAAAAGAAATTGATAACCAGCCACAATTTTTTAATTCTTATATCTTTGCAACCAGGGACCAGATTTACAGAATAGCAAGAAGTAGCTAAACCGGGCAGACTAAGTGAACCAGTTCTTGATTGCGCCGGTTAAAGCTGAAGAGAGGTGGTTGAACAACGTCTGGGCTATTTATAAGATCTGGACCCAGTTTTCATAGACTTTTCATATTTTAAACTATGAATTCATCTAGACCAAAATGTCATCGTTAGAAATATCAGAAGTTTACGCAACCAGGTTGCTATGGGATTAGAAACTAGAATTTGTGCAGTGAAATCAAATTCTTTATAATACTTTACTATTTTTCAACCCATCGAATTCTAAATCTTAAATTTCTAAACAGCAAATCGTAATATTTCAAGAATATATTTATAAAATATGTTTAAAAGCTTATTTCTAATTGTTTTTGTTTTTAAATGTCTCGACAAGGCCTGAATTTAAAGATAAACATAAAATACATGGGCATGAAATACTTTCAGGATTAATTTGAATAGGAATAGGATTTGAAAGCTTATTTATTATCGACTGCTTTTTGTTAAATTGATAATTATTTCTATAATCTGTTTTGAACGATTTCATTTGAAATTCAATCTATTTTAAGGATCACTGTATGTTTCGAACATACGACATTAAAAACAACACCAAATAAAAAAGTCTAAATCTTACGCATGTGTAACGTGTATATTTTAAATAATAAATAATTCAAGTAAAGATAGAATTAGAGGTTATGCAGTCGCAAATGCTTTTTGAAAACTATCGATTTTTTTTTATTTTGTAGAATACAGTTTGTGTGATTTGTTACACATATAGTATTTGTAGAATATAGTTTGTGTGATTTGTTACACATATAGTATTTGTTTGAAATTTCTTTTTTCAAAGGTTGATTTTTTATTGCAGAACAACACGGGACATTGAAACTTTCTTTTTGTTTTTCTTTTCATATTTTTTTATCCCGCCTTATTCTATTTTTATCCTGTCCCATCCTTTCTCCTTTCTTTCCTCCCTTTTTGGTTTACTTTTTTCTTTGTTTTTTCTTTTTCCTTTAAGCTTCCTCCTTTCCAATATTCATGTAAATTAATTATATTTTTAACTGTACTTATTATTTCTCCACCGTAAAGGAAGAAATTACTTGTCTCTTACTCTAATTTTTTAATCCTAAAATCTTTAAAATTTGATGTCGTAGACCTGTGATGTTTCAAACTGTGAATTCTTTTGATACAAAAATCAAAGGTTGAAACATCAAAGGTTTACATCAGCAAGCTGCAAAGATAAAAGGAATTAAAAGTTAGAGTTTGAGATGAGTAATCCGTCCTAGTCCTAAACCTTCCTCCACCCCTCTCCTCAAACTGTAGATGGTTGACTGAACTCTATACATAGGAGAAGGTTGAATGGTTGGAAGAACCCGTGGATAGAAATGTTAAACAAGGAACAGCTGATGAAGTTCATTTTACAGCAAAGCTGTCGGTCAAGGGGAAGAAGGCTAAGTGGTATATCAGAAACCAGGTAGAAAACCAGTTTGCCACAGAATAACGTTATAGTACTTTGATGAGATAAAACAGTTAAATTTGTCTCTTTTTTAATATATGGTCCAACTTTCTTTTAGAAATTTTTTAGTAGGCTTTCAGAGTGCTTCGCGCCTCTCTGCAATCAACAATTTAAGCATTTAAATTTTGCTTCTCAAGCGGTCATCTCCAAATTCTGCGGATTTTTCTGTAAACATTGATATATTTCTAAACTATCCATAAAGATTAACTTTTCATAAACTTTCCCTGGGGTCATGTAAGTTGTCGCAAAAAAATTGGGCCCGATTGGTTCAGCCGTTTTGGCGTTTAATTGAGACCAGCAAGGTATATATATGTATATAGATGTAGAGAAAAATTTGCCCATGGGCGAAGAAGGTAGATTTGACAAAAGAATTTCTTTAATACATTTTTTTTTAGAGTTTAAGAATCAGAAAATATAAATTTTGAAATTTTTTGCTATTTGCAAATATCTAATAAAAATTTAAAGTTTTATCCAATCTTCAAAAAAAAATTTGGCTTTTTTATTTTTCAAAACATAACATTTTTTTACTTTTAGTTCAAAAAAGAAACTCAAGTTTATAGAAAATCCCAAATATAATAAATGATTGATCATTGAACATCTAGGCTAAACATGCCAGTTCTCGATTAAAAAATGAAAATGTCAAAAAATCTAAAGTTTAATAAATTCTTAATTAGGATACGCAAAAGTCCAAGGTTGCGTATGAACACGGATTGGTAAGTTCTGTATGCAAGAAGCATGGATCTTGCATGGATAAATTTACTTCTTTTCATTTCTAAACCTCGTGCTCATCTTACATCCTGGAGCCAAACCTTGTGCTTCTAGAGGCCGTAATGGTTTATTTAAATGCTATGTTCTAAAGTATGCGCATAATCGCTTAAAAATTGTTCAAAACTTTTGTGTTAGTCTACAGCGCTTAATCTCGACATTTACGGCAACTTAAAAAATTTGAGAGATAAGTGCTAGATTCCTTTACAGACCATGGGATATCCAAGAGAAATTATTTAATTGTTTGAACGACTAAAGTCAGGAAGAACTGGTTGATCCAGGGATTGACAACGGGAAAGTTTTGACCCCAGGATATAAGAGCGATCTCTATGATTCACAAGCGTTTTAATGCTTCTCGTAATTTAACTGAACATTATCTCTGCTGAATCAAGAAAGAAAGCCAAGAAAAACATCAAGATTACAATTTCAGATTTACGAAACGATATTTAAATCCTCCTTTTTACATCTTGCACTTTATGTTTTTTTTCTTGGCTTTTCTCCGAAATGATTATGTCAGAAATGTACTTAAAGCTATAAACATATCTTCGTGTACGTGTACATTTTGCACGTTTAATATATCTTTCTTTCAACCTTCTTCATATTTGCAAGAATACATTTTACTTGAGCACTATGCAAAGTATTTACTAAATAGGTTGCTCATAAAAATATTTTTTGAATATAACGAAGAGCAATAATTGTGATAAATGGTGCGCAGCTGCCGCTGCCCTCTGAAAGTATGCCCTGTCTACGGATTAATTCAAGGATAATATAACGCTTTTCCTCCTTCGGTATTTTTGAATATATATCTGTTTCAGCGAATTTATGAATTTCATTTCTTTAATTGTGCATAAATAAATGTCATGGCATACTTTTACAAAAAAACTTTTAAAATGACATTTTTCCAGAAATATTTTATTCGAACTGAAATGGTATAAACAACCTTTTCATCCTCTTCTTTTCTTTATTCTTGATTTCGAGATTAATTTTGATGAAACTGAGCTGAGAACTTTAGAATTGTGGATATCGAGATAAATGCTTGATCTCCTCTTTTTTATAATCTCAAGATTAATTTAATCTGTTGTTTTTATTCTAAAAGTATATAAAATTCATCCAATCAAAGAGAACTCGAAAGTTTCGAAAAAGCTTTGATTACAATTTAAAAAATCATTGGAGACATTTTATAATATAAAGAAAGAACAATGATTATAATCAGACCTGTTTACTGGTTCCAGATGATAAGGGAGTGCAAAGGAATTAAGCTTTATGAAAAAAAATACATTTAGAACTTGAAAACTGTCTCTATTATCTCTAAAATATGTATCTAATAATCGTTAAAAAAATATTATGACCTTCGTGGTTGACGCTCACAGCTCATATTTATAGAAGAAGGCAATATGCTTATGAATACAGTCTTCTCAGACAAAACATATTTATGCAGCTGACAGCTTAAATCCTAACAAAACAGCTCGTAAGTGACAAGAAAAAACTAATGATTAGTATTTTGACCCTAAAACTCTGATGTCCAAATAGGAAAGGATTGTTTTAGGAGAAATATAAACATATCACTGTTTTTTCTTTGTCACACAGTGTATATTTAAGGAGTATTTTTAACTGTATTAAACTGTTTATGCATTGAAAATATAAAGAAAATTTAAATTCTTGCATGTCTATAAAAGCTAGGAATGTATTCTATTAAAATGCACATCTTTTTTTCTGTTAAAATTCGCTTCGCTGTATGTTTATTTATTTTATGTGTTTTTTAAACATTCTGCATTTAAGATAAATTTTAACCAGAGCTAAACTACTGATTCCTGATCCTGGACCGACCTTAGAAGTGTTTAAGTTCGGATGATAATATCCTAACTTTTTACTGAACTTCTTTAAGGTTTAGGATATTCGGATCCCTGAAATTTCCTGGGTCCAGGTTTAGTTTGGTAGATCATAATCTGATCATGAACTTTTCCAAGGATTAGTTTAGTTCGGTAGATCATAATCGGAAATTAAACTTTCCTAATAGATGGTTTAGTTCAGATCTATCTATTTTCTGGTCTCAAACTGTATCGGATCTAAGGTTCAGTTTAGTTTTGATAATATTTTTTGTTATCTAATCTATAAAGAGCATGCTACTGAAACCTAAACCTTATAAGATGTTAAGAGAATTATCTTGTTTCTAGGAGTGCTACAAGGGTCCCAAGTTCTCCTTCGTCAACGACGATGACACCTTCACCTTGATCATCAAGAACCCCGAAGTCGGGGATACTGGTCGGTATACCTGTGTAGTCAGGGAGTGCAACGATCTGACCTGTAAGGGATACCTTGAAGTGGAACGTAAGTTAAGATTTTATTTAACAAAATTTCATTTCGATTATAACAATTTCCAGTGGAAAGGGGGGGGAATTTTTGTCTTTGCTACTTTCTTCGACCTGGATTGACCGATAACTTCCTTGTAGCTTCTACCTTTTACCTGACAAAGTTGACCGATATATTTGTAGAAACTGGTCACGTTGACCGGGATAATCGATAAACAAATTGTACCTTTTCTTTTGGACTGGCTAGACTGATACATTCACTGTCGCTGCTTCTGGATCTGAAATTAACTGCATCTTTTGACCTGGCTTGACCGATAAACTTATTGTTGCTGCTCCTATTGAAATGGATTGACCGATATATATTGCAGCTGCTGATCCTTCCTTTGGATTTTGTGGTAAGCTGAAGGATAAGAAGGGTAAGACGAAGAGGAAGGTTCAGCTCAAGTGCAAGGTTGATGATCCTAACGCCAAAGTTAAATGGTTCAAGGACGGAAAGGAGATTAAACAATCTGACCCAAGGTAATTATTTCAAAAATACAGTCTGAAAAAATATTCTTGTATCTATATTTCCAAATATTGTCAAGGTTCTTGATCAAGAGCGAGGATGGAGTTTGTACGCTTGATATCCGTTCTGCAGAGATCTCCGACTCTGGAGAATACAAGTGTGTCATCCAGGATTTCGGTAAGGAGGGAGAGAACGAGACCAAGTGCAGGGTTGATGTTGAAGAGTTCACACACAAGTTCACCGGAGACCTCAAGGGTAAGAAGGTTGTTGAGGACGAAACTGCAGTGTTTGAGCTTGGAGTAGAGGAGGATGACGCCGAGGTTAAATGGTACAAGGACGGAGTTGAGATTGTTCCAGATGGAAAAAGGTTAATCTTGTGTGAACCCTACCCTGCACTGTGTTTAAACCTGTATCTTAAATATATTTCCTTGTCCGTTGACCAACCCTACCCTGCACCGTGTATAAACCTGCATCTTAAATATATTTCCTTGTCCGTTGACCAACCCTAACCTGTGTATATAACATATCCCAGACGCATGAATATATGTATATATCATGATAAATGAAACTCTCTACTAACCTGTGAACCCTGAGCCTGGTTGGGACTGTATCTACCCTCATGAATCCTCTAAACTCTTGCATGTAAGAAAGCTTGAAATTATCACACTCTTTACTAGGTTTAGACAAACAAGGACGTAATGGAGGGGACGGGGTACAGTGGACAGCCCCCCCCCCCCGTGCCTGGACCTTCTCTAGAATAGATTAAACCTCGAGTACTCCCTTGTCAGAACTAACCTGAGTTTTTGCACTTTGTAGCTCTGACCTAGCTTGTATTTATTTTTACTCTAATACATACAAAAAATCCAGTTAGAGTGTAAGATGTTATTTTCTAGGTTTTAAATTCCTATATAAATGTATTTGGTACAGCTGTAAGTTTAAATTTTCTTATTTTTAATCATTTTTGGTTTATGGCTTGATTTGTAAATTAATTCTTTTTTTAGATATTAACATTGTTACCAAAAATATTAAAAAGTGTGCTTTATAAATTGAGGAAAATGTTGCCCACAAATCCGTCCATCGAAATTTATTCTTAATTTTTCCCCTTTTTCGAACTTACAGAGTCTGTTAGTGTAATTTCAGATGAACCTCCATGCAAAGATGACATCTTTTGTTTCTCTTTTAACGTGACTTGCGCATTTCTACTAAAGGAAATCATATAGGAATTATCATAATTGAATACTTTTAAAGCTTAGAAAAACAACAATATCTCCCATAATTATTGATCAGATAAAGGTTTCAATGGTACAGATGTGAATCGAGCATTCACAACTTTCCACGGAGGGTCCCTTTAAAAACGTTCATCAGCCATCACATAAACCTTTAAAAAGAATAGTTTTTAGATTTATTTTCTAGAATCATCCTTAGAATTATTAAATCATGTTCAGAAAATTGCAGAGACAAAAAATTGTTAAAAATAGTTATGAATATAATTCTAAATGATTATGAATGATAACCACAATTTATATATTTTGCAAATTAACAACTCAAACTAAGCGTAAAATTTGCTAAACATATTTTTTCATAAATACAACAAACGTTTGTCAAATTTTGCATTTATTAAATATATTTATCGAGTTTGAATGTCAACAAAGCAAGAATATCCATTTTCTCTTTTTTTAATTATTATTTACTTTCACTTTCATAAACTATTTAAACTTCATTTTTTAAAATTGTATTTTTAACCACAAAGTATGTTTTCTATTGAACAAACTTGTATGAAAAGAAACTATTGCCCAAGGAAAGCTTATTTTTCAATGTCGTTGAATGTAAATAAAACTACATGTGACCAGATTGTTTATGTTTCCAGGATACAGATAGTGTGCGAAGGAAAGAAGAGAAAGCTGATTATAAAGAACTGTAAACTTGATGATGGAGGAATGATATCTGCCAAAACGAACTCCGATGAGGTTTCTGCACCCCTGGAAGTTAATTGTAAGTTTTTAACAATTTTTTTTTGTGAACAGGAACATCTTTGCCACAAACTTTGATTTGCTAGTCCCTTTATCTTGGCAACCCAATGTTAGATATTTGAATTCTGTTCGGTCAAATAATCTAATTTTAAAATATCAAAGGTTTACACCATCAGGTTGCAAAGATTTAAAGATTAGAAAATTAAAGTTTGTGACAAAGACTCAATTCCTTTGTATTTGTGACATGAATCGACCAGAGAAACCTTCCTTAAAACAAAACTGTAAAATTAAAATTCCAAGATTGATAAAAATGGAATTTTTGTTTATTTTGATAAATATAAAATTTATGTTTAATAATTTGAAATAAAAAATTATGCAAAGTTTATTTTTTTACCAACATTCAATTCCATCCCTGTTCACACAACTTGTTTCAGACCATAACGGATTCAAGAAGGGAATGAGGGACTTCAAGCAGTGTGTGGAGAGGGAGCAGATCATCTTCAACGTGGAGCTCAAGGATCCGAATGCACCGGTGGAGTTCGCCATCAACGGAGTGCCCGTGGACACCTCCGACGGCAGGGTTGAAGTGAAGAATCTCGGAGAAGGCAAGCATCAGCTGATTATCAATAAGGCTGAGATGGGAGACGCTGGAACAGTTTCTTGCAAGACTCCGACCAATGTCGGAGATGAGATGGTTGAGTCTAAATCTAACTTTACCGTGGTGAAGGGTGAAGAAGCTCCGGAGATGGGAGATTGCGGACCAGTGACTGGAGTAGCAATGAAGCAGTGCAACATGACTATACCCTACAAGGTAGAGGGAGAGAAACAGTCCGATTTGGAGATTATTATTGAGAAGGACGGTAAGGTTCTGAAACTGGGTAAAGATATTAATCTAACCGTTCACGGAGATAGAATCCAACTGGATATAATCAACCCTAAGCGAGAGAAGTCTGGAAAGTATAAGGTTACGATGAAGAATGCTCAGGGTATCTGTGAGAAGTGGATTGATGTCAATATCATGGATAAACCTACACCTCCTGCATCCTGCAGAGTATCTGATGTATATCAGGATAACTGTATTGTCCACTGGACTCCACCCCAGGACGATGGTGGAACTCCAATCAAGAAGTATGTTGTTGAGTGCCTGGATACAACCACCGGAAACGGAACCTGGACTCCGGTTGCTATGACTGAGGACGGAAGTGCCAAGAAGATCAAGGTTCATAATCTGACTCCGATGCACAGATACAGGTTCCGAACCAGAGCCGTGAACAAGATCGGAGAATCTGATCCTTGTGAGATGAGAGGAGATGATATCCTGGCTAAAGATCCCTGGGGTAATATATTGTTTGTATAAAAAGTATTAGTTTTCCACATTTTCTGCTCTGTTGATATATCTCAGCTGGAAGGAACGATAAGAGTTATATCTTATTTAGTTTCTTTTAGTCATCAGATAAAGGTCATTTGCCATTTACTCCTTGCCTAATATACTCTGACAAGGTGCACTGTTAGGAGGAAGCATTTACTCAACAGAGTTTGGCATTTAAATATTTTGCTTTTGTATTGGAGAGGGGGGGGGGGGAGATAATGAAGACTGTACAGGAGGATAAGGGGTTATGGCGGACAATGATTACAAAGACTATCAAGGGGAGAAGGTTTAAAGGAGATATTGAATCAAAGAACTATCAGGAGGGGAGAAGGGGTTTATGGGGGTAATGAATCAAAGGATTATCAGGGGAAGGAGAAAGGGTTAAAGGAGATGTTTAATCAAAGGACTATCAGGGGAAGGAGAAGGGTTAAAGGAGATAATGAATCCAAGGGGGAAGGAGAAGGGTTAAAGGTGATAATGAATCAAATTACTATCAGGGGAAAAAGAAGGGGTTTAAGGGGATAATGAATCAAAGGACTATCAGGGGAAAAAGAAGGGGTTTAAGGGGGTAATGAATCCAAGGACTATCAGGGGAAAAAGAAGGGGTTTAAGGGGGTAATGAATCCAAGGACTATCAGGGGAAAAAGAAGGGGTTTAAGGGGGTATTGAATCCAAGGGCTATCAGGGAAGGAGAAAGGGTTTAAGGAAATGAATCAAAGGGCTATCAGGGGGAGGAGAAGGGGTTTAAGGGGGTAATGAATCCAAGGACTATCAGGGGAAGGAGAAGGGGCTTAGGGGGGTAATGAATCAGAGGACTATATACAGGGGGAGGACAGGGGGTCTAAAAGGTAAACTGAATTCAAGGATGATGAGGGGAAACAAATGTCACGTAAGGTGAATCTAAATCTCTTCTCCTTAGTCATAGTTTTCGAGGTTAAGTGTTCAAAGTTGTTTATTTGTCTCTCCGGAGTTCTCCAGTGAAATTGCTAATTTATTCTGTGATGTGGGAATCTTATTCTAAACATTATATATTCTAGATGAGCCAGATCCTTGCGGTAAACCTGATATTGTTGACTGGAGTCCAAACCATGCTGATCTTGTCTGGGATCCTCCAGCATCCGACGGCGGAGCTCCCATCACACACTACATCATAGAGATGAAGGAGAAGAATATGGGACAGTGGGTGGAGGCGAAGGTGTTGACCCTGAAGGAGGTTGAGGCCCTCGGTAACAAGATCAAGGGTAAATGTGACGGTCTAGTGGAGGGTCAAGAGTACCAGTTTAGGATCAAGGCGGTGAATAAGGGAGGACCCAGTAAACCTGGTCCTCCATCTGATTCTATGATTGCCAAGCACAGGTTCATTCCTCCACATCTTCTAGGAGATGGAATATATGATATCACATTGAAGAAAGGTCGCCCAATCCGATACGATCTCTGGTTCGGAGGAGAGCCTGCTCCATCAGTAGAATGGATAAGAAATGGAAGAACGTTGAACAGCGATGAACACACGTCTATCGAACTCTACTCCAAAAACACAATTTACACAGAAAAAAATACAGTTCTTAGCATTCCAAAAGTAAGTACATGGAAACATATGTTTTTTGTTTTAATTTTTACCGTAACTAAGCAATGCAGTCGAGCGTCCTAGAACGAAAATTCCTAGCATTCTTTTATTTCTTCTAAATAGATATCCTATTGTGTGTTTAGGCGGATAGAGCGAGGGATACAGGAGAATATACAATCCGTCTTGTCTGCGAGGCAGGAACATTCGAAGCAACAGGAAAGGTCAACGTCCTAGACGTTCCAACCAAACCTAGACAGCTCATGCCTGATGAGATCCGTGCTGAACATGTTAAACTGAGCTGGCTTCCTCCAGAGGACGACGGAGGAACTCCGATCCAGAGTTACCTGGTCAGATACATGGATATAGACAGTGGAGAGTGGGTTACAGCTTGTACCACAACCACGCCATCTGCTACAGCTCAGGGGCTCAAGCCAGGTCATCTTTATCAGTTCGAGGTCTCCGCTATCAACAAGGAAGGACAATCAGAACCTATCTATACAGGAGATCCAATTCTGGCAGAAAACCCATACAGTAAGTGAAGAAACAATTTTATGACTTTACAAATAAAATAATTAACTTTTTTTAGGACCGCCTAGTGCACCTGGAGAACCTAAGATTGTTGATTTTGACAACAAATCTGTCACCCTGAGATGGGATAAACCCAAACATGATGGTGGCCGTCCCATTTCTCACTATATCATTCAGAAGAAAGACAAATTCGGCGGCTGGTTCGATGCCCTTATCACAGACGATCAGAACTGTGTAGCAACTATAGATGAGCTGGAGGCCAGGGTTCCAGGTCTCAGTGAGGGTAAATGGTATCAGTTCAGGGTCATTGCTGTCAACAAGGCCGGAGAATCCGATCCTAGTCCTGAAACTAAACCTCATCTTTGCCGACACAAAAATCGTAAGTATTTGTTGACGATTGTTGAGAATTTTATAGAATTCATTATTCGTTTTTGTTGGATTTTTAAAAGTTTTAAGAGGATTTATTGCTTTACATTTCTACACATCTAAAAGCCGTGAAATTGTTTTCTATGCATTTGACCGAATTTTTTTCTATTTCTTTTACATTTAGAAGTAAAAGTTGTGTCATGGTGAAATCTGCAATCCTGATCCTAATTTTGTTTGTTTAGTATCTCCATCGATTGACAAGGGCCAGGCTGGATCTAAGACGGTAAGAATAAACAGAACTGCGTTCTGGCAGATCAGATGTAAGGGAGAACCACCTCCAGTCTTTACCTGGTCTCACCCTGTACACGGAGAGTTGAAATCTTGTGAGAACTACACCGTTCACACAGATGAATACCAGGGTGGAGCAACAACAACACTCGTCATCCATCATTCTACTCTACAGGATGGAGGAACATACACCCTTCAAGCAGAAAATAGGTAATTATTCATTTACAAATTAGATTTAGAAGTTAGCAGCTCTAGGAGCAGGTCAGGTTTACGTCATCAAGCTCCAGGTTTAGACTTGAGAAAAGCCTTTGAGAATTCTAATTATGTCAGAATTGTTGACTGCAACATACTATCATATAACTTTACTCTTACAATTCAATACAAGCAGAAGATAAAAGAAGAAAAAACTCTAGAAAGCTAATTTCACCTTGAAACTATGTTTTCTCTCTCAGACAACAAGGTTAGCTGTTTAACAAATATATTTGCCTGGTCAAGCAAAAAGATTTACCCAATTCTTAATTTTAGAGTTTTATAACTTATTTTTTTTGAATAATTCTCTGATTGCGTAAACCTAACTCCTGGATACAAAATTGAATTTGTTCAATATAGGGGCGAATACAATTTAAAATAGGACTATAAAATTTAACTGGGACTAGTGGTCCGAGAAAATACTATTTAAAATTGGACTTTTAAAATAAACTGGGATTTATGGTCCGATACAAAAGTGCATCGGGACTTGAATTATTACGAGGAAAGTTTAACTAAGGATAAAAGTGTTTTTGTCCGTTGATATTGCAAAAATCAATTCAATTTCTTTTCTTTTAATTTGCCGGGTTCTCATCATATAAAACCTCTAACTTTGTAAATTATATTTCCAGGAACGGGAAAGAGAAGATAGATTTAGATTTGATAGTACTGGACAACCTACCGGAATGTGATTGCGACATGTACAGGAGAGGAGACAAGCAGTGCTCTTGCCAGCATTCATACACAGGGTAGGTTCATATTTTTATCCGGGTTCAGTTTAGGTTTAGAAGCTCCGAACCTTGGTTCTCTTGGAGACTAAGAGAGCATGATGCATGGTGATATGTATCCGTCCATGTAGTTGGTTTGCAACTATATAATTGGTTCTTAAATAATAATTTGTGAAATAAAACAGGAAAGATCCTTGGATGGCTGTACTCACTGCATCCATGGAATATTTCAACGGAGCTGCTCTCTAACTTGTAGTTTTAGGTAATCTTGGGTTGTCCCGTCCCTTACATGTGTACACTGTCCTCTCCTCTTCTCTCCTCTTCTCTTCTATTCTCTTCTCTTCTATTCCTTCTCATCCTTCTACTAGGACTATCCTAATGATTTCTCGTCAAAGAACTGAACATTCACCTCAAACTCTGATTATATAATTCCTCTATCTTTGGAACCTAAATTAAAAACTTTTGATACTTCAAAGAAATTGCGTTTTTACCACAAATTCAAATTTTCTAATCCCAATATTTTGTAACCTGATAGTGTAAACCTTTGAGATTTTAAACTTAGATTATTTTGTTTAGCAGATTCATAGTTTGAAATATCTAAGGTTTACTACATCGCGTTGCTAATGTACAAGGATTAAACCATCAGAGGTTGTGGCAAAAATTCAATTCCTTTTGACATTTCAATTTGGCAAAATTAATTATTATAAATATTAAAGATCTACGACCCTGTCAGGACAAGTGGAGGAAAATGTACGCTAGTTTGTGACGTGTGTATTTAGCTTAATCAACTACACTGATCATTGTTGTTATTAACATTTGATGCAGTACGTGGATAAGGGATATGAAAATAAACCAAATTTTAGCTAAGGAGGGGGGGGGTGGCGATTTTATTCATAGTCTTTTTGGGTTATACAAAGCATAGTAGCTTTTCCTTCACCTTAATGGTATGCATGATATATTGGTAAATGAATACAACTTCTCATAAATATGCAGTGCCCCTCAAAATAAAATGGTAAACGGAGACAACTTCTCATAAATATATAGTGCTCCCCAAAATAAAATAGTGACTAATGATGACTTTTCGTAAATAAACAGTGCTCCTCAAAATAAATTGGTAAATAAAGACAACTTCTCATAAATATACAGTACTCCTCAAAATAAAATGGTAAATGAAGACAACTGGTTAAAAATATACAGTGCTTCTCAAAATAAAATAGAAATAAATAGGATGTTTCCCCTTTATGTTCATTTACCATTTTATTTTAGGAAGAACTGTATATTAATACCCAATTGTCTTCATTTAACATTTTATTATTTACATTTAAGGTGAAGAAAAAGCTACAATTCTTTTTATAACCCAAATAGACCATGAATAAACCCCCCCCTCCCCAACTAAATTATAGTTTATTTTCATATCCCTTTTCCACGTACTACTGCAATTGCATCAGTGTAGTTGATTAAGCTAAATACACACGTCACAATCTACCTTTTCTTCCACTTGTCCTGACAGGTCTACGACATCAGATTGCAAAGATAAAAGGATTAGAAAGTTAGGACATGAGTTCCTTTATCAGTTCTTTATGGTTTATTTCCTATTCCCTGTTTTTTTTTCTCTTTTTCTTATTTCCTGCAGGCTGCACAGGGAAATCTGTGTTTCCATTTACCCCGTATATCTGTGAGTCCTGTGTCCAGTTTATTTCTGTTTTCAACTTTGGCAAGCTTTGCATCACGGAGTGGAAAGCTACAAACAAGTGGCCGGAGCTCCGTCCCTCCTCTAATACAAGACTTAGAGAGAGAAAACTTTATCATTATGTTTTAACCCTGTCTACTAGACAACGACAAAATTTAACAAGAGGAAAAACTAATCATTTAGAATTCAGGTTCGGACGGATTTCTCAGGGTCTAGTTTAAACTATAGAGAGGATACAACATGATCGATAATATATTCAATAATTGTTCTGCAGGTGCTTCCGAGCAATATCAATGGAGGAACCGATTCCAAATATTTGCGAACAGTTCAGTTTTAATACTGGAGAGGAGAAAAGGTTTATCCGGAGCAAATCCTGCCGTAGAAACACAGAGGAGGAGAAATCAAACCTAATCCTCAGCTATAACAGTCGTAATTTTGATGCTATGACCCAGAGATATTATCCGTCCTGGCACTTTACTACTCCGTTCAGAGATTATTCTGCTTTCCAAACCCGGCCAGACCGGAGAATGTCTAACTTTTAAATTTAACTTTATGTGCAAGAATGCTTCAAACTAACAAACCCCATTTAATTTATTACATAATATTGCAAGAGTGTGAATGCATTAATAATCAATTTTAACGAGTTGAACCCCCCGCGAGTGCAGTGAGTTTTATTTATTTAAAACTAATTTGTACATCTCTTTTTCAGTCCTGACGGAACTTTAAAGAAACTGCTGGATCTACAGTTTTCTGAGAACCTACTCTGATCCATAAATCCAGTTCTTGGTCTGAAAACATTCGATCAATCCATCAATCCATGTACAGCCGATCCCGTTATCTTCATAAACCAATTCAAGATTCTCCTCCATCTAACCTGAACCAATCCCTTCTTCAAACCATCTTCAAGGTTCTAGTTTCCATATTCCAGTTTATGTACATTTTTCACACTATGTACACCATGTACAGTTCCTCAACCAAGATGTTTAAATGCGGATATTTTTTGGAGTAAAATGTGATCTTGATGCATGTGTTTCAGAGCCTGTGAATTACTAAACGCTATCGATTATAAATGCAAGTTTACCCATATTGTATTCGCTAAACTCCCTCTATATGGAACCCATTAAATCTAATCTGGAATTAATTATCCTAAGATTTCACATTTTTTTCTTTAAATCCATAGGAGTACTAACACAAGTAGTATTTACCCTGATCGGTTACATTTTGCTTAGATGTCGATTTTATATAAAGTTGGCGGTTTCTAACCGGGGTTTTGTTTTAAGAATGTCATGATAATTATGATAGATATATCCTGGTTCTAACAACTATAGAAACCGTCAGCTTTATACGACTAAAGACGACTTTTAAAGCCGTTCCAACCCAGCTCGGAGCATGCTGAGCTGGTTGGTAACAATTAAACCATGAAACCAATGTAACACTATTTTTGTAACTAGTTGTAAAGAAAATATATTGACTGTTACACTGCCGTTATTCATCCTCAACGGGAGTATAGTTGTACAGGGCGACGCAGGAAAACGGAAAATTTCACCAGAATTTTTTTTTTCTGTGCCACCCTCAGCATTATTATAATTTCTTTGGCTGTATTTTTTAATAAAATGTAAACTTTTTAGGCTAAGATCATTCAATCAAGAATCAAGAGTCAGTGAATATCTAGATTTTAAAAATTTTTCAAAGAATCTACATATTTGCCTAAATAAAGTTGATCCTTTGTAGATGGACAGTTTTTAAGTACTTTGATTAATGTAGAAACTATGAATAGTTAAATACAGTGTGTCCCACGAGACATGACAGAAGTAAGACGACTATTTGTATATTTGTACTGTACAAAGAGAAGATGCTCACAATTAAAGCCACAATTAAAAGTTGATAAAGCCTAGTAATACAAAAAATACAAAATAATAATACTATAACATACCACAGTGAACCCCTTAATAGCGAATACATGGGAAGAATTTATCAAATGTCGTCTTGACAATTTTTCAATGAGTATTATACTATATTACGTAAATTTCAGTATTTGGGAAAATAAATAAATAGCCATGAATATGCGGGAACAGTTTTAAAGAGTTCCATATAATCATTTAATTAAAAAACTAAATATCTGCAACATTCCATTATTAGAAAGTGAAGAATACGACATTTGATGAATTCTTTCGATGTATTCGTTATTAAGGGTTTCACTGTATAATACTATACAATGGGGTTTATATTGTACACAAATCACGGAGGTTAAACAACGATTACAAGTCCATTCAAATTTTAAAAGTCTTAAAAAGACGAGAATTTTGGGCTCTGGCTATTATTCCACTTACAGTAAATAAACATAAAGCTTTACACTTTTACTAGCTTCTGAGCCCAAGAGTGACACACCTGGAAACTAAGTTTTACCTAAAAAAGGTTGTTTAGATATTCTTTTAGTTCCACAGTTCTTCAATAAAAATTTGGGGCATATCGGTCAAGTAATTTATAAGCAATGATCGGACATCCAAACAAACGAACAAACACCAAAACAGAGATTAATATTTTGTTTTATATGGATTGGATATAATGATACTGTACTCCATGTTCCCACAAGTGTTTAGGGTCCTAAAGGCTGAGATTCCCAAAATTTAATTTAAATTTTAAAAGAAATAGGAAATTCACTCCTATTTTGATCAAATGTTGTGCATTAGTATATATCAGAAAAAATCAAGTCTGATAATATCTACCTGAAGAATAAAACTCTATCTTACCTTACCCATGATGTTGGATCATGTTTATATATATGTATATATGTTTTATCCACATATATTCAATTTATTATTCAATCAAAAAAAACAGATAAAACATCCTCATACACAATGTTTCATGGACCAATTGTCATGGACCAATCTTCAGAGAGTCTGTTCTCGACTATATATGTATATATATACAATATACATATATATTATACATATATATTATACGTATTACACATATATTATACATATATTATTATACATATATTTATCTAAAGATACATACCATGCAAAGAGTAAACTACAGGGTTACACACAAAGAGAAGACATTATAATGTCACTATAGTGACGGTCTAAACTCCTTAAATATAACGATCTGAGGTTTAAAATAAGAATATTGTCTTTAATGGCTTATTAAATGATTTGACTAAAAAATAAACAAGTTTATAGCCGCCGGAGGGAATAATAAATTAATGCAAAAAGACTCGATGAATTCTGTAGAGTCGTACCTAGAGTCTCATTCTTGTGTAACCCTCTATAGTAACCCTTTAAATCATCTACTTTTTGTTCTTCACAATTTAAAGGGACTGTAAAGGAAAAATTAAAGGGGGTATAGGATGAAACCTGAGAATCTCAGGCGTCTGTCTTCTATGTATCGTTCAATGCCTGAGATTCTCAGGTTTCATCCTATACCCCCTTTCATTTTTCCTTTACAGTCTCTTTAAGTTTATAAATATTAATATACTATTTAAATTCTCAAAAAGTAAAAACTCCCAAAAATGTTAGATACATACATAAATCAAATAATATTTTTAATGAATTTCGTAAAGCGGAAGACGACAATCTCTGAAATATTCCTTTAGACTCTCATTGATTGTAAGAAAGGCCAGGTATAAAACTAAAACAATCTAAAACTAAAAAAAGACGGAAACTTTTAAAGAATAGAATAAGTTAAAGTCACGCAGACCTCGTTGGATGATTTACTGTTATCCCTTGGTTTTAAGCTTCAATTTTCAATTAAAATATTTAAGGAATTTAGTCTTTGCCATAGACACGATTTTTCTAATCCATATATCGTAGCAACCTGATGGGCCCGTAAGTCGTCTTTACCAAAACCCTCTCGGACACAATCTCCAAACCAAAATTCATCTGTACTCTCCGACAAAAGAAACAATAAACAGGGAAACGTTTTACTAAGTAAAAGATAAAATCCATAAATAACTTCGCAATCAATAGTAAATTCCACTTAAACACTAAAAACTGGTAAGCTGTTTTATCCAACATTTGACTACATTAAAATATTGTCATTTATGTTTAAAATACCTGTATTTTAAATAACCAACCAGACTATTAGTCTGTTAATCACCGATCGCGACGCCTGCCTATTTTGTTTACGATCCTGGTTTTTAGACAATTACTCGAATTTATGTCAATGTCAATTTTGAACCATTTACTCACTTACGTCACGAAACAACATTTTTTGAAAAGGCAAAACAGAAACAAAATAGAAAATAAAACCATATACTGTTCTTTTTTAATTTAAAAATCATCAGCATTGAGAAATCAAAATACTATTATTATTTTGTTTTTACAATATACATAGATTAACTAGTAATGCGGTAAATTGTTCATTTGAAATGCGGTAAATTAAATCAACTCATTTCTTTTAGCTTACAAATATAATTCTTGTGATTTTATGCTCTTGAGTCTTGTGTGCTGATTTTAGTTGCAGAAAAGAGGCTCTACTTAGCCACCTTATTCTATCTACAGAGTATCCAACCAATCATAAATGCCGCAAATTATTTCAAAGATCAAAGACGACCTTCTAGTCCTCTTTCTACTGTTATGTTTCGTGGGACTACCTTTTTATATAATTCGTCTGAGGGTTAAAGAAAGTTAAGGAATTTGCTTAAAGATATAGAAAATGTGTCAAGTCTTCTTTGAAGTATTATCCCTTCTAGATAATTCTGTACCCAATAATTAGATATTATAAACATTAGAAAAAAATAAGAATAATATCAAAAATTTATATTTATTTATAAAAAGTCTTAAGATTTTATTTACAAACAGAATAACATTTTTGGCTTTACATTTGGTTTGGGATTGCAAAAAGGCTTAGAACTTGGCTGCTAGGTGCATAACGATGGATACTGTTACAATGTACAAAGTACATATCCCACAGGTTTATATATTGGTTTATCCTGGTTTATATAGGTTTTAAAACTGGTTTATACTGGTTCAAACAGGTTTAAAAACTGGTTATTAAACTGGTTTATACTGGTTTATACAGGTTTATAAACTGGTTTATACTGGTTAATAAACTGGATCATATAATGGTTTGTAAACTGGTTTTTAAAACTGATTATACGGATTTATAAACTGGTTTATACTGGGTCAAATCTAATGGATGGGTGAAGAGGGAGTCTGTTTTATTTGGTATTGGGTTTTTGCTAATTAAATAAAGGGTAAATTTTTGATTTTGCTGAAATTGATTGGGTTGCAATCTTGTTGGTGTGTAGATTTTTTTTGTGTTCCTGAAAAAATTGTCTGGTTTTTTTTTCAAAGTTTTTTTCGTTTAAAAAGTTCGGAAGTAGTTGGAAAATTTTATTTAAAATTCTTTAATCTACAAAGAGTTTCCGGATCTTTTGAAATTAAAGAGATTGTTATAAACCAGAGGGTGGGTTAAAGGATAACCTAGGAGAGAAAATAACGATAACAAACCGGTTTATTTAAATAATGTATTTTTGTTATAATGTAAATTGTAAGAAGTTCTGAAAACATAGTTTTGATGGTTGAGAATCTATTTCAGGAACCAGAACATTGGAATAGTTCATGACGACGTAAACATTTTGGAAGAACTTCACATACTTACAAAACAAATAAATTTTACGAGAAATGTTTTTTGAGAAAATTGTTGGTGTACGTGGATGTGTGGGTAGCCTGTGGAACTGGAAGAACTTAAATCATATTTGGAACAATTGTGGAAGAACGTTAAAAAGTTGAAATACGTTCACTACTTACATCTAGAACATGATTAACGAGAAAATATCTGAAAACTAGAAGATTAACAATGAAGGTCATAAACTCCAAAGAAGAGGGTGGGGGGGGGGCTCGTGAAACAACGACAATATGAGCAATATTAAAGATAAACGGGGATGTGCGTTTGATTTTTCGTTCTCTAAACTCTTATAAAAATAAATTCATGTAATTCTACCATTGGTCTAAAACAGAACAAAATGTTTTTAATGATCAACTGAATTCTAGCTTGCGTGCATGAATTCTTTAAACAAGTTTTATCAACAACATCCGACCAAAACAGAGTTTTTATCTGTTTTGGCGAATAATATACACATTTCAACATATTCTTTGGTTTCAGGAATTGACACAAAATTCCATTATTTTAAATCACTAATAATCCATCGCCAAATTTTCAGAATTGCCGCGCTTTGTTATAGCGGGAAAACGGCACAGTGCATGCGCACACTAATGTCTTGAACATTGAACGCGGCACACATTTTACTAGGTGATCCTTTCAAGAAAGAAAATTGTTTGAGTCCTGCTCATGGATCAATCAGTCACTTTTATTTATCTAGCTACTTGTTGATGCAATAGGAGAGGTAGGAGAGAGAGGGGTTCGATCTGGATCTTTCAAACATCCATTTATAGTAACCAGAACCTAAAATACAAGGATGTTAGAAACATATTGCATGGCAGTACTCTTGACTTCAAATTACTTTTTCTACAAATCTTTGTAAACAAATGTGATAATATACAGCATTACCCGCAAAGGATGCAACTTTAAAGACTTAAGGGAATTTTTATTTATGATTCCCTGCGCCTGTGTACTTTTTTTTTTTTTGCCAAATCATTAAATAAGCCATTAAATTACTATATTCCAGCAAAGAGACATGATATAAACTTGGGTTCATCATATTTTAAGAGTTTCCGGTCGTCGTTGTAGTCTCATCCTTTGTGGGTAACCCTGTATATTAAAAAAATGTAGAAAAACAAATTCAAAGCTAATAATTAAAGTTGCAGAAATTCAGATCTTATTAAGTTATAACGGTTGTCCATTATTTCTCCTGGATTACTAATAAATAGTGAGAAAATGGTGAAGAGAAATCTATTCTCTATATCCTTCATAAGCCAATGTCCAAATCCTCATGAGTGTAAATTAGCCTAAATGCTAATTGTCTTGGAACGTTAGCACCGTCTATCTGAATATTAATAGTAAAACGAGAACGGTGTACAATGTAAACAGAGTTATGTTAAACATACAAAGCCTCTTCTTGTGCAGTGTGCTGTGTGCCTAGGTGTGTGCTTAATGTTTATTGTTGTACGGTACTGCAGCCGCCTCTTGGGCAGTGTTTATTGTTGTACAGTACTGAAACATCGCATGTTCTTTCAACATATTGTACATTTGTACTAATATACAATTTAAAAGTTAAAATATAGCTAATTTAAAAGAAATGAATAAATTTATATTGTTGTAAGTACATAAATTTCAAACCGGAAGACAATGATACATTTACATTTCTCTTGTTTATGTACTAGTAATAAAAGCACGGGCAGCCGTAGTACATATGAATTTCCGAGCCGGGTCAACCTTTCCGGTCCCAGTTTGTACTGTACTTTAGACTTAATGCTTCATATAGGTTGAGTTTACTTTAACTAAAGGGGCAGAGGTGCATGAAAGTTCTTTTTATATAAACTCTGTGTAAATAAGTTTATTCCGGATTAGAAGGAAGAAAAATAATGCAGTATGTTTGCATGACAAGATAGCACTATAGAACCTGTAACAAGTAACAGCTAATTTTCTAAACTCCTAATTCCGTCAGATTTAATTTATTATTATTTTCGTGTCTAGTTAATTATTCAAATGAATTGTTCAAGACATGTTAGTATATTGCACCAAAAGTATAGTTAATACAGTATATTTTTATATACTGTAGTATAGGCTTATATATATGTTAATATACTGCATTAAAGGTTTATACAAACTGTATGATAGGTTTATATATGATAATATACTGCAATAAAGGTTTATACAATGTAGTATAGGTTTATATATAGGTTTATATACTGCAATAAAGGTTTATATACCGCATTATAGGTTTATATACTGCAGTAAAGGTTTATATACTGCATTATAGGTTTAATCATATATATTGTTTGTGGTGTCCTGTACAACGGTAGTACAGGTTTTATAATGATACTGTGGTATAGGTTTACTAACAAACACTGCAGTATAGGTTTACAAATATTTTATCGAACCCCGATAATTTGTCCTTTTTGTAAAATTATTAGATATATCTGAGAACAAACTAAATTAAAGGAAAACCCAAACCAAAAATAAGGAAAAAAGTTAAATACAAAAGTGTATTCAAACACAATTAGAAAAAATGTCGAAGATAAATCAATGTTTAAATTGAGGTCGGAAATTTTGTATAAATAATCCCTCCAGAATGCACTAATCCGCATCTTCTGTAGTTTTTGAGAGATTATGAGAATACTTTTTAGATATCTCTTCAGGCCCGACCAATCAGAACGCACAGATAATCTACTCTCGGCCTATGAGAGATGACTAAAACGAAAGTCAGTTTTCTTAAAGGATTAAGTGCTAATCACTTATTCACTTGTGGATATTGATCTAAGGTCGTGTAGATTAGCGCCATCGCAAATATAAGTTTTGACCTTAGAATATAAAATTTTACCAAAAGATTTAACCCGAAAACATGTCAGCTGCAGATGATACAGGATTTTCAAGATTTTAACATTTGATAAAAAGGACAATAATATTTTGTCAAGAAACTCAACATATTAGTTGTATATTTTATTCATTTTAGGTTGGAGCAATTTTTTTCTTTCTTAAAACCAGTTTTTTATCCCTATATCTTTGCAGTCCGATGTCATAGACCTTTGATATTAAAACTACGAATCAAACAGTCGCAGTTTACATCATCATTTTACAAAGATTAAACAAATTTAATTTTGTGACAAAGCCTTAGTTCGTTTTCGAAAACGAATTGCTCATTTTCGCAATTTTCAAACCAAATTAAGTTTTCACAATTGAGAAAATAAATTCCCAATTACGTATTCAATTGAAGACTTTCGCGGAAGAATTTTCCATAAGAAATAACACCCTCCCATTTAATGAATGCCATTAACGATTCACACAAAAAATAATTATATAATTTAGCTTTTTGTTTGGTATAACCCTTCCTATGGTTTTGTTGTATAACAATTTCCCGATATTAAAACCGTTGAAGAAAAATATCAATATATATTGGTTATATTGGGACAAGGACATCTAACCCAAAAACATTCCTTTGGTGGAAAATTGCATTTTTTATTTTTCACAATACTTAAAGGGTCTGAGGCCGATTTAAAGAATTTGAGCCGCGGCTTAAATTTGAGACGATCGGCTCAAATTTGGAAGGTTCCACTTAAAATTGTATTCAATGTTTCAAGATTTAAGCCGGCGCTCAATTGAATGAAGTATTTTAAAAAAATTATCATTGTTAGCGGGAATATTATATATATAATTTTTTTTTTAATAATTTAATGATACACGTTAAGACATTATTCACTCGTACTTTTGTACTTTTTACTTCAATATGTACATTTAGAAAAATAATTTTATTCTCAAATTTAACATAAAATATTTCAAATTTGACATAAAATATTTCAAATTTAACATAAAGTTTTTCAAATTAACATAAAATATTTCAAATTCAACATAAAATATTTCAAATTTGACATAAAATATTTCAAATTTAACATAAAGTATTTCAAATTTAACATAAATATTTCAAATTTAACAAAGAATATTTCAAATTTAACATAAAACATTTTAAATCTAAAGTAAATGGTTTATAATAAATACGATGCCACGTTTTTAAGATTAAATATTTAATCAGATAAGGATCATTATTCTTGGATTGCTGGACTTTGAACAATATATAAAAACGTGCCTGTAAATATATACGGTTTAAATACTTGGCTGTTACTAGTTTTGCGTGAAAGGAAATGAATTTTTGCTATAAACTCTAATTTTTTATCCCTATATCTTTGCAAACCGATGTTGCAGACATTTAATACTTTAAGTAATGAATACTGTTCGATAATAATGTAAGTTTAAATTATAACAGAATGAAACCACCAGCTTGAAAAGATATAGGGTTAAGTTGTGGCAAAAAAAATGAGAAGAGAAAAATATTTTTTACCTTTCTAGAGCCTGCTCGGTCTCTGTGTTCGCAGAGCCAGACCCCCTGCCAGGTTCCTAGGTTCAGTTTACCATCGGATACAGGCACTGTCAGGTTGGATCCAAGAAAACAGGCTTTCACATGTGCAGGCTAAACAAATATTTTAACAATTAAGAATTCTATTTAAAGAAAAGATAAATTGAATAGTAAACCGGGGCTATAATTGATGAAAAGTGCGTAGTAGTTGAACGGTTTAAGTGGTTCAACTTTGTCTACGCGGTTAAACTAACTCTCGCAACTAAGTAAATCTGGTCCCATGGATGATATTCTTAAAATCCACGTGTATCAGATGAAACAAAATGGAGGATAATGTCAAAATCTACGTGTGTCAGATAAAGCAAAATGGAAGTTATTCTCAAAATCCACGTGTATCAGATGAAACAAAATGGAGGATATTCTCATAATCCACGTGTGTCAGATGAAACAAAATGGAGAATATTCTCAAAATCTACATGTATCAGATGAAACAAAATGGAAGTTATTCTCAAAATCCACGTGTGTCAGATGAAACAAAATGGAGGATATGCTCAAAACTACGCGTGTCAAATAAAACAAAATGGAGAATATTCTTAAAATCCACATATCAGATGAAACAAAGCTTAGAAAAAAAATCAATATTTGAAGTTAAAGAGTCAATTCACACTTTCAATTTTTGGTTAATAATTATTATTAAAATATGATTTACATCACCCAAAATCATTTTAAAAAAATTGTGATATTTTTGTGCCTACACAGGACATGCTGACATTCATAGACTAAGTAAAATTCTGAAAAGAATTGGGAAAGAAAGGTTGGAAAATACAAATGAACAGAGAAAAATATAGAAAGAAAGATGAATGGAGGAATAAAGATCGAATTCTAAATTTTCTTCTTTTTCCTGAATATGAATTTTGGCAACTGTGAACTGTGTATTCTCAGGTTGTGTGCAAGGAGAGAGGATATTCTGCATTGCTCTCATCGTACTTAGAGAGAAGGGGCATACATAGATAAAAGAGAGATGTAGAAACTATCTTGGGAACCCAGCTTTGCCTGGAAACTAAGTTTTCTTTATATAAGTCAACCTATTCAACTGAGAAATTTTAAACCAAGCTAAGAGTATTCCCGTGGTTCTACCGTAGTTCCTCAAAGCTAAGAGTATTCCCGTGGTTCTACCGTAGTTCCTCAAAGCTAAGAGTATTCCCGTGGTTCTACCGTAGTTCCTCAAAGCTAAGAGTATTCCCGTGGTTCTACCGTAGTTCCTCAAAGCTAAGAGTATTCCCGTGGTTCTACCGTAGTTCCTCAAAGCTAAGAGTATTCCCGTGGTTCTACCGTAGTTCCTCAAAGCTAAGAGTATTCCCGTGGTTCTACCGTAGTTCCTCAAAGCTAAGAGTATTCCCGTGNTAGAGATATGGAGAAATACAGAAATACAGAGATTGTAGAAAAGAAATACAGATATTATAGAGAGATGGAGAAATACAGATATTAGGGAGAGATGGAGAAATACAGATATTATAGAGAGATGGAGAAATACAGAGATACTAGAAAGATGTAGAGATTAAGATATAATAAAGCGATTACCCTGGAGGATTAATTTCTAACTTCGGATACAGATTACACTTGGTTACAGCTTTTAGGAAATACAAATTATATCATAATAGGTCTAGTTAGAAAAACCAATAAATTAAAAGCAAAGGAGTTGAGTCTTTGCCACAAACTTTGATTTTTAAATACCTATATCTTTGGAACCCAATGTCGTAAACCTTTGATATTTCAAACTTATATTATTTGATCTAACAGAAGTCATAGTTTGAAATGTAACAGGTCTACGACATTAGGAATCCCGAGATATAGTGATTAGAAAATCAGAGTTGGTGGAAAAGACTCAACTCCTTTTCAGAGCAACTTCAGCCTATGATAATCAAATTTTTATTTTCTGAAAACTATTACAAAGTTTAACAGAAATATGCAGAATTACAGGGATAATAGTGAGATACAGAAATACGGTGATAATAAATGGATGCAGAAATACAGATATATTATAGAGATTCAGACATACAAAGGGATTAAATAGAGACAGAAATATACACATTTACAGAGACGGAAGCAGAATTAAAAAGGAAGAAAACTTGAGAAGAACTATGTCTGTAAAGAGAAAAAGGACGAAGAAACTTCTCCAGGTTATTCAACTACCAAGAGAATGGGTTCGCAGTAGGGAGCTCTTTCATAGAATAAACTTCTCAGGTCCTGAGCATCAAACCGTCAACAGACAACAGACATACATAAGAGTAATTTCGCAAAAATATGGATTTTTTAAACCAAAGTCATGGCGCATTAGTTCATAAATTTTGTGAACTTTATACAATTTCTCTTTATACTCCCCCCCCACATCCCCTTCTACTCTTTATTCCCCCCCCACACACATTCACCACTTCTTTGAGTAGGTTCAGAAGTTGAGGTTACTCTTTCAATTTTACTTCCTCCTGACAAGGAAGAGTGCCAAAATTCACACTGGCGTCTCGTAATATCTAATTCTTCTTCCTGGAGTAATATCCTTGTTGGAGAATACAAGGTTTAGGAGTAGAATATCAGGTTAAGGAGTAGAACATCAGGTNCAAGGTTTAGGAGTAAAATACAAGGTTTAGGAGTAAAATACAAGGTTTAGGAGTAAAATACAAGGTTTAGGAGTAAAATACAAGGTTTAGGAGTAAAATACAAGGTTTAGGAGTAAAATACAAGGTTTAGGAGTAAAATACAAGGTTTAGGAGTAAAATACAAGGTTTAGGAGTAAAATACAAGGTTTAGGAGTAAAATACAAGGTTTAGGAGTAAAATACAAGGTTTAGGAGTAAAATACAAGGTTTAGGAGTAAAATACAAGGTTTAGGAGTAAAATACAAGGTTTAGGAGTAAAATACAAGGTTTAGGAGTAAAATACAAGGTTTAGGAGTAAAATACAAGGTTTAGGAGTAAAATACAAGGTTTAGGAGTAAAATACAAGGTTTAGGAGTAAAATACAAGGTTTAGGAGTAAAATACAAGGTTTAGGAGTAAAATACAAGGTTTAGGAGTAAAATACAAGGTTTAGGAGTAAAATACAAGGTTTAGGAGTAAAATACAAGGTTTAGGAGTAAAATACAAGGTTTAGGAGTAAAATACAAGGTTTAGAAGTAAAATACAAGGTAGTCCTGCTACTCTACTGGGAAGTACTGGTGCTGGCTAGAGGAAGAGAAAATATTGAGTTAAAGATTAGAAAATACTGGATCCTGCACTGGTCTAAGCTTAACATAAATCAAGTGGAGAGAATCTTTCACCGCTCTCAAGATAAATACTGGAGAAATTAAAAGGCTTTAAGAAAAATGGAAGGATGGAAGGAAGGAAGGGCAGGGAGGAAAATCATTGAAAAATATAAAAAGGAAACATATGCTCGCTTTTATCAAGATATTTCCACAAATCCTTCTTGTTTTCTCATGGAATTTGAACTCACCATATCATCTGGACCCTCACAGGAGTGTCTGAAGGGCATATCTTCTGGAACTATTCTGTTCAGCATCATCTCCATGTCGTCCCTGACGTCGGGATCCCAATTCTCGTTGATGGCGAGGCTGGCGGAGGTGTGGAGGAGCTGGATGTGCATTAACCCAACGGAGAACTGAGAAAGCTCCGGCAACTGAAAGATGAAGGGTTTAAATTATGCATGAATAACTTTACCGTGGAGTTTATATTCATAAATATATAGAACAGACGCGGCATTTTGTCGCACTAATCTGGGATTTACTTATTTCACCTTTCTTATGATTTTTTTTATAAGTTTCGAGCATGATGGTTTTATTTATTAATTTGTATTTTTAGAAATAAAGCTTATTTGAAGCATTTTTCTAGAAAAAATCTTCATCAGGAATATTTGATTAGAAAAGAGAAAATCTGCAGGTTTATTTAGTAGAAAATCTAATCAACAAATTTAGATAAAGTTCAAAAATCCNCTCCCTCCTCCATCTACCTCCCCCCTATCCATTTCTCACTCTCTCCCTTTCCCTCCCTCAACCATCTCTTAGAAGAACACATTGACAAATTCGATGTAGTAAAGACTGTAAGCACCACCACTAAAAAAATATTTATTTTTGTTAACTACAGTCTACTGACTGAACTTGATAAAATTCCTTTTCTTTCATTTTATTTCTTGATTTTTTATATTTTAACTCACCCCTCGGAGTATTTCCTCAGTAACTAGATGAACTCCTCTATGCTGAGGACGGAGATGAACTTTTCTCTGAAGCCAGGCGTTGGGTCCAACTATTAACCCAGAGCCGTGGCTTGAACCGTGTCCGGATCCCTTACTATGGCTGGCGGAGCAGGCCATGGATGTGGTGACGGAACCAAATCATTCAGAGCAAACGTGTTCAACCTTCCCTGTACCTAAACATAGGTATATAAAGTAGTAATCTCGTCATAACTCATACCGATTAGCCTCAAATTTTGATTTGTGAACTTGGACGAACCACGGTATGGTTCTTAGCATGGTTAACAAATTTTAAAGTGACTAGATTAACTTGAGTAGAGTAAGTTTAGTTTCTAGTCAACGCTGGGTTCCCAAGCTTGTATAATATAAAACTAATATTATAGATTAACGACGCAGCCCAACATCTGAAGGAACTGGTTCCATCGTTTTAGATCCTTGGACTTCTAGGATAAAAGGAGACAAGAAATGCTCAACCTATAAAGGTTAACCCAAAATTAATGAGATTTTTAAAAGAGAACCAAAAACTTGATATTTCCAGTGATTTGAAGGTTGAATTGGAGTTCTACCTTATATACAGTCTTGAAATGGTATATTAGAATATGTGACAAAGAGAAACATAAGTGTACAGTTGCAGGACACCATAAATGTGACAAAACGATTACAGTCGTCGATGATTACTTTGTGAGTAACCCTGAATTATCTATCTTTTATGATTCTTTTCAATCGCAAATATTTATCATTTTCTAAATACCTGTCTAGTATTTTTTAAACACGCATATGTACATACATATTTGTAGTTGTATCCATATGTACATTTATGTACTTTGTACATTTACACTTTACAAAAATATATAAAAAAACTTGGCTGTAAACAAATTTGACTTTGCCACAATCTAAAAAAAATTAAAATTAGAATATTTCGTAATCTATCGTTTTATTCTCTTCCTACAGGATTCTGGCCACACTAGCCTTGTGTTATCTGTTTATTGTATCCATGTAAATGGAAAAAAGAACCAAGAAATTCAAATAAAGTGGAATCTGGATAAGTGGAGAGGTTTCATTTACAGTCCTAATTGTTTGGTTAGAAACTCGATATGTTCTCTTGTCAGCTGGATACATTCTGTAGTCAGATGGATACATACTGTATTCAGTTGGATACATACTATAGTTAGTTGGATACATTCTATAGTCAGTTGGATACATACTATAGTCAGTTGAATACATATTGTAGTCAGTTGGATACATACTATAGTCAGTTGGATACATACTGTAGTCAGTTGGATACATACTGTAGTCAGTTAGATACATACTGTAGTCAGATAGATACATACTGTAGTCACTTAGATACATACTGTAGTCAGTTAAATACATACTGTAGTCAGATAGATACATACTGTAGTCTGCTGGATACATACTGTAGTCAGTTAGATACATACTGTACTCACTTAGATACATACTGTAGTCAGATAGATACATACTGTAGTCAGTTGGATACCTACTGTAGTCAGTTAGATACATACTGTAGTCTGCTGGATACATACTGTAGTCACTTAGATACATACTGTACTCACTTAGATACATACTGTAGTCAGATAGATACATACTGTAGTCAGTTGGATACCAACTGAAGTCAGTTAGATACATACTGTAGTCAGTTAGATACATACTGTAGTCACTTAGATACATACTGTAGCCACTTGGATACATACTGTGGTCACTTAGATACATACTGTAGTCACTTAGATACATACTGTACTCACTTAGATACATACTGTAGTCACTTAGATACATACTGTAGTCAGTTGTATACATACTGTAGTCAGTTGTATACATACTGTAGTCAGTTGTATACATACTGTAGTCAGTTGTATACATACTGTAGTCAGTTGTATACATACTTTAGTCAGTTAGATACAAACTGTAGTCAGTTAGATACATACTGTATTCAGTTAGATTCATACTGTAGTCAGTTAGATACATACTGTAGTCAGTTAGATACATACTGTAGTCAGTTAGATACTGTAGTCACTTAGATACATACTGTACTCACTTAGATACATACTGTACTCACTTAGATACATACTTTAGTCACTTAGATACATACTGTAGTCCGTTGTATACATACTGTAGTCAGTTGTATACATACTGTAGTCAGTTGTATACATACTGTAGTCAGTTGTATACATACTGTAGTCAGTTAGATACATACTGTAGTCAGTTAGATACATACTGTAGTCAGTTGGATACATACTGTAGTCAGTTAGATACATACTGTACTCACTTAGATACATACTGTTGTCAGTTTGATACATACTGTAGTCAGTTAGATACATACTGTAGTCAGTTAGATACATACTGTAGTCAGATAGATACATACTGTAGTTACTTAGATACATACTGTAGTCAATTAGATACATACTGTAGTCAGTTAGATACATACTGTAGTCAGATAGATACATACTGTAGTCACTTGGATACATACTGTAGTAAAATACTTTGTTGTAATTTGATTACGCAAAAGCGTATTTGGATTTATTCTTATCCTAATATCTCTAATAAAATAAATCTTGTTAAAATGACTCTAGAAAATATTCTATTGTTTATTCAGATAGGACATTGCTGATAAAGGTTATGTAGAAACCCATATTTTCCTTTAGTTCCAAGGTGAAGGAATATTGAATCCAATCTAACGACTTAACTCTACAAGGATTTAAGGAGGAGATTAATAAATCCGGGAAATTACCATTTTCGGCCAAATTTCTTTTCTTGTGTATTCGAAGCATTACTTGAAGAAAGGCTGAAGAAGTACTTAAGCTCGGACGATTCTGGATTTATGGCAACTTTTGCAATTGAGTTTCTACTTGTTTCTGTACATTAAGAAGTAATAGAAGTACAGGAAGATAGTCACAGTACAAAGGAATGAACAGAGGGAGTAAGTACACAAGGTACAAAGGGGTACACAGAGTTAAAACGGGTAAATTTTTTGCGTAGAGTATGAAAAGTTAAGCAAAGTACAAAGTAAACAGAAGTAAAATAATACAGTAATTAGAGAGTGAATGTACACCGAGTAAATGTACATGAGTACAGAGGGGAAGTTAGATATTCACTTCTAGCAGAGTACAAAGCAGTTAAAAAGGGATTGACAGAGTACAAATTTAAAACAATGTAAAGAAAAATTTTAAAAGTACAAGCTGATAAACATGAGTACACAAAAGTAGAAATTAAAGGGGTAAACAGATCATAAAAAAGTACGTAAAGTACAACAGAGTTCACAAAAACTTGAAAATAGGATTACAGAATAAATGAAATAAGAAATTTTCTTTTTTTAAACTTGTTTCCATTTTCACATTCGAAAATGGTTTTTTTAAATATTGAAAATTCAAAAAATTATATTTTAATGCCAAGACCCACTTTTTAAAAACCTAAAAAAAAGAGTTTTATCATTAATATAAATCTTAAAGAGAAAGAGATCAAATCAAATACTTTCTTTGACTCGGCCATAAATCAAATTAAGGACAGTTCATTTCGAAACCATTTAGTTCATGCCACAAACTCTCAATTTATAATCCCTATATCTTTACAACCTGGTGGTGTAAACCTTTGATTTTTCAACTTAAACTATGTCACCTAACAGAATTCACGTCTATGACATCGAGTTGCAAAGATACAGGGATTAGAAAATTAGAAATTGTAGCAAGGTTCTTAGTTTCAATGTTCTTTAATAACCCCCCAGTTGTGTAAGGTTTATACATTCTTAAGCTTTAGAGCTTTGTTCATTGAAAGGTTTAAACAAAATTCACTTCTATTTAGAGCTTTGTTCATTGAAAGGTTTAAACAAAATTCACTTCTATTTAGAGCTTTGTTCATTGAAAGGTTTAAACAAAATTCACCTCTATGGTGGGAACAAAAACTTTGTTCATTGAAAGGTTTAAACAAAATTCACCTCTATGGTGGGAACAAAAACTTTGTTCATTGAAAGGTTTAAACAAAATTCACTTCTATGATGGGAACAAAAACTTTTAGATTGAAAACTTTTGAAGTAATATTAATGGACTTAAATCAGATTTGATTTCTTTCTTGATCCCGACTTTCTCCGAACCCCAGAGCAAACCCTGGACGGATATTTGTATGAATAAAGTCAATAAAGTTGGGACAGTGTATTGATAAATAGATGGCTATCAATATTGCATAAATTAAAGAGAATAAATAAACAATATTAGAGAAATCCAGTAAACTAGACAAATATACCAGTTGTTTATAAGAATTTCGGTTCTAATATTGGAGCAAAAAACAAGTTTTATTGGAGCCTGCTCCGATAGACAAGTGAAACTTAAGCAGAAAAGTGAAACTTAAGCAGAAAAGTGAAACTTAAACAGACAAGTGAAACTTGAGCAGAAAAGTTAAACTTAAGCAGAATAGTTAAACTTAAGCAGAAAAGTTAAACTTAAGCAGAATAGTTAAACTTAAGCAGACAAGTTAAACTTAAGCAGAATAGTTAAACTTAAGCAGACAAGTTAAACTTGAGCAGAAAAGTGAAACTTAAGCAGAAAAGTGAAACTTAAGCAGACAAGTGAAACTTGAGCAGAAAAGTTAAACTTAAGCAGACAAGTTAAACTTAAGCAGAAAAGTTAAACTTAAGCAGAATAGTAAAACTTAAGCAGACAAGGTAAACTTAAGCAGAAAAGTTAAACTTAAGCAGAATAGTTAAACTTAAACAGACAAGTTAAACTTTAAAAGACAAAAGAAAAGCAGATAAATGAAACTTTAGAAGACAAAAGAAAAGCAGATAAATGAAACTTTAAAGGACAAGTGAAAAGCAGATAAGTGAAACTTTAGAAGACAAGTGAAAAGCAGATAAATGGGAAACTTTAGAAGACAAGTGAAAAGCAAATAAATGCGAAACTTTAAAGGACAAGTGAAAAGCAGATAAATGAAACTTTAGAAGACAAGTGAAAAGCAGATAAATGAAACTTAGAAGACAAGTGAAAAGCAGATAAATGAAACTTTAGAAGACAAGTGATTCATTCCTGATCAAGATGACAAATAGTGTTTAATCAAAAGTTCAATTAATACTTGATTGAGCAAAATAACAAGTAATACGTACAATTACAAACATACAGATAAAAATGAACAAAAAATGCTGGAGCAATTTGAGTTCAAAAGTATTTTTACAACC